GTGATTAATCGGTGATAAATTGGAAATAAATCGGTTTTTAAAATTTAATATAATATATTTCTAAATATTATTTATAAATACTCCAAACATATATAAAAAGATATTTAAACATAGTTATATCTCCATCATGTATATATCCTATTAACATAATAAAAGTTTAATAATCATAAGATCATAATACATAAATATCCTTATAAAATATAAATAATTTTTTTTTTTGAATTTACATTTATTCTTGAACATTCGTGGCATACATCATTAGTTCTTTAACAATAACAATTAACATAAACAAAATAAGGCATAATATCATATTTTCTTTTATTAAAATCCAACTTTTATTTTGAATTATAAAAAGAAAAAAAAAAAAACTGATTTTTAACCGATTTTTGTCACCGAGTTTGACCCGCCTTAAAGTTTTGACCGCTTCAGACCGCCTAAAACCACCTCACAGGCAAAAAACCGATTTTTCAAACCTTTACACTAAAATCGTAAAGGTTTTGGACCGCGTCCGCCTCGGAGACCGCTTAATCGGCCGCCTCGGCCGATTTTTAGAACACTGATATATATTGAGCCATTTTCCACTATATATTTTACCATTTTCAGTCAAATTTACGTTGAAAATTTTTGTATTTATATTTTTTTCTCCAAAACATCTAATTGCTTACATTTTTTTATTTTCTAAATACAACCTTTTATTTTTGCCATTTTGAGTTTCTTCATTTTTTTTCTTAAATGTCTTCCGGTAGTTCAAACATCCTAAGATTACAAACATCTTTACAATCCTATTATTGTTGATAATTTGAACTACCGGAAGACATTTAAGAAATAAATGAATAAATTCAAAATGACAAAAATAAAAATGTTTTTATTCAGATAATTGAAAAAAAAAAATCTAAGTAATTAAATGTTTTGATGGAAAAAATAAAAAAATGTTAAAAAATATAGTGAAAAATGGCTCAAACAAACCCTTATTTTCGTCATATTTATAGGTTTAGCCGGGGTATTTTCGTCATATTTTGGAGAAAATATAATACCAGGGAGATTTTTGTATTTATGTGTAGTACATGGGGTAAATGATACAAAATCTATAGTACATGGGTGTTTTTGTATTTAACCCTAATCTAAATTAATGTAATATAAGTAACCAAACGATCCCCAAAATCTTGAAGTGACAATAATTGAAAAAGAAATTGGGAACACAAAATATGTAAGTTTGATTCGATCAAATAATTATTAGATTAATATTATTTTCATCCATTGACAAAACATTGTCCCCTTGTCACATAAAATTAACAATATGATTGAAAACACACACACACACACACACACTCATAGGACTAAGTAAAGCACCGTGCTCTCACGACATATACAAAACTCTCGCACGTTGGTGACGGCCCACGGTCGGCAGTCAAGTCTTCCCTATGATAATTTATTTAATTATAATTTATTTATGGATGGTGATAAATGCGGGACTAGTTTTAGTAAATGTAGAACATTTTCTTTTAAAAATTCAAAGGCTAGTTTTATCCAATGTTTTTAGAACCGGACCGGCATTAAAACCGGACGACCATTTGGGTCATGGGTTTATAGGGTCGAATCGATTCAACCGGGTTTTTGATTTTTTTTTTAATATGCCATTATTTTATTAATTTTAATGTTTTAAAAATATTATTTTCTTTATATTTTTAATCTCCCACTTATTATTTTCACTTTTGCCTACTTCACCTCACTTTTTCATGACTAGATCCGGCCACCCACTACTATGTATGTGTAGATTCGCTCAAATCTAGCCACGAATAACCAACTCAGCGGCGATTCAAGACGTTTTTGCCGAAAATCGGGTTCCTTGACTGACTCGTCGGTTCTCAGGTTTTACCCGGTCAAACCGGATTTTGGTCATTTGACCCCGGTTTTTAATTTTTCCCGTTTTAGATGTCAGACCGGACCGCTTTATCGCCGTGTCACGGTCGTACCGGTCCGACCGATCGGTTCGGTCCGATTCTAAGAACATTGGTTTTATCCATCTTACTTTGTCAAATCCTTTTTTCAAAAGTTTTAAACGGCATTTCTGTGGGAAAATATCACATGAAAAGTGTTAGTAAACGTCGAAACTTTATTTAAAAATTCAAAATCTAATATATCACATCTTATTTTTTTAAACTTTTTTTTAACAAGTCTTAATTGACATTATTTATTTTTAATGTTCAGTGTAAGTACGTATATCTCTCCATCTCTACCTATTCATAATAAGTATACATCTTCAATCTTCTTTTGCGGTTTGAGTGTTTTGGTTGTAGGTTTTGAATTAATTCAATTTACTAATCTAGAAATCAAACAAATTTAACTATACATTTATCGAATATGAAAAACATAAAAATATACCCTTTTAAATGTGTTTGAGGGTGGAAATTGTATAGAATAAATATAATCCTGTAGACAGTTAATGATAAATAGAAGACGAGAATTAAATTTTATATTAAAATGCGTACAACTTCTAAAATGCATCATAAAATAGAGATAATAGTTGACATTACAAAAATGGTCTACATATACTAAAATTCGTTCTATATATATCATTTCTCATTATTTATTTATTTCAAATTGCAACACTCTTTTCAACACTACTACATATAAACATACTCCTCTGAACCAAAACTTCTCTCCCAAATTTCTATTCAGAATTCCCTCCCAAAAAACAAAATCCCCAAATTATTTTTCTCCGATGAGAACATTGTGCCCTAATCTCGACAGAGAAGATGCACTGGAAACTGTTCTCGAGGTCCCCGTTCCGGAAGAGATGATTTCATCCAACAAGCACAATTCATGGCAAACAATCAGATCGTGGATGCTGAGGCCGCCGCTCGACGCGGCGGCGGTTTCCTCCGTCCTGGGAGGCCGCACGGCGGAGATTCAGTTCCTGCTCGGTGTCATCGCAGCCCCTCTTATCCCTCTCCCAATCCGGTGCGACCGCACCACCGTCGGCGACAACATCAAATCCTGTCCGATTGTAAGTCACAGTAAATTTTGATTTTATAATATCAGTTCAATCGAGAGGGTAAATTTTTGTTCTTATGGTTATGTTTGATTATTATTATTGTGCAGGAGAGTTCGATGGCGAAATATATCGTGCAGCAGTACGTGGCGGCGGCGGGTGGGGAGCACGTGTTGAACTCCATCAACAGTATGTACGCGGTGGGGAAGGTGAAGATGGCGGCGTCGGAATTTTTGTCCGGAGACGATTTGAGTCTGGGCAATAATTCCAAGGCTGGGAAATTGAAGAACATGAAAAATGGACGTGGAGAAATTGGGGGATTTGTGTTGTGGCAGAAAAGGCCTGATTTGTGGAGTTTGGAGCTGATGGTTTCGGGTTATAAAATCAGTGCTGGTAGTGATGGTAAGGTGGCGTGGCGGCAGACCCCGTGGCAGCATTCGCACGCCTCGCGGGGCCCACCGAGGCCCCTCCGTCGATCTTTGCAGGTACAAAACTACGCTAGTTTTACTTTGTTGTGTTTGGTTTGATCAAAAAGAGAAGATAGATGTAGTCCAATTTACTCAAATATGACTTGTGTTTGACAAAGTAGGTATTAGACATATCGGAATTATTACAATTTGTTACGGAAGTGGAAAAATAATTCCAGTTCCGCTAAAAAAATCAAAATTTCGGAAATTGGAATAAAACTTAGTCCAAAATCGGAAATTTTCGGATTGGAATAGCGGAATTCAGAAATTCCAACTTTTTTTGGTCACCTATAATACGAAATACATAATAATATTGATATTAGAAGTGTAATTTTCAGAAAAAAAAAATTGGAATTTCAGGAAATGTTTTCTGAAATTACAGTTGGATAAAAAAAAATGGAATTAAAAATATTGTTCCAAACATCAGATTGTTTCGGAGAATTTGATATTTCCGTTCCAATTTTCTCCCCCATATCAAAAAGATGTCTAAGCTTACATGGCCTTTTCACACTGATGTAAATTTGTTAATTTTTTTTTTCGGCATTTTCACTGACTTTTTGTGATGAATCATGTCATCAGGGGCTCGATCCAAGATCAACAGCAAACTTATTCTCCAACTCAATCTGCATCGGCGAGAAGACAATCAACGGAGAAGATTGCTTCGTGCTAAAAATGGAAGCAGAGCCTTCAACATTAAGGGCAAGAAGCAGTACCAAAGTTGAGATAATCAGACACACTCTTTGGGGCTGTTTCAGCCAAAGAACAGGTCTATTAGTCCAATTAGAAGACTCTCACTTGCTTCGAATAAAAGCCCCAAAAAATGACGTCTTTTGGGAGACAACCATGGAATCTTCCATTCAAGATTACAGAACAGTTGAAGGTGTGAACATAGCGCATTCGGGAAAGACTTCTGTTTCGCTATTTAGGTTCGGAGAAAACTCCGAGAGCCACACGAGGACTAAAATGGAAGAGATTTGGAGTATCGAGGAAGTGGATTTCAACATAAAGGGACTATCAATGGACTGTTTTTTGCCACCTGCTGACCTTAAAAGGGAGGATGAAGGAAGTGGCGTGATTAATGTTGCCGATTGCGATGACTTAACGAAAAACGGAGGGGTACCGTACAAGTTTATGGCCAATTCTTATAGGGTTGTTGGCGGGAAAGGTGGGTCTAAAGTTGTGGCTGTTGATGAAGAGTAATTTGGTGATTGTTTTTTGGAGAAAGAAGAGCAGTTGTGAAGTGTTGTGGCATGTTTGATCTTTTGATCAAAAGTTTTGTACATATATATACATATATGATATAGTTTCATAGTTAGTTTACTGAGGCCATATTTTGAGCCGTTGATACATTTTGCAGTATCAAAAAAAAAAAAAAAAAGAAAAATCCCTTTGATTTTGATTTTTCCTTTTTCTTTTATATTGTTTTTAAAATAACATGTAATAATAATTGATGAATTTTCTGAGCTTGGTCCTTGCTGTGCCTTTACTAGATTGGTAGATCACCTTGACTTACTCAAAAATCTTAAATGCTGTGGGAATATTAAGAAAATCTATAAATATGCATATATTAAAGAAAATATATGGAAAATTGCTAAAGTACCATTGTCACGCATTGGTTGTTTCTAAAACCAATCGTCTTTAAACTAATTAAGAGTGATAAATATGAAAATTTAATAAAAGTGCATGTAATCGGGATCATAGGCTGGAGAATCGCACGAGGGGCATAAGTGGTTGTGTTCGAGCCACGGAACAACACATGCAATGGGAATGAAAAGTGGTTCCGCAGCAAGGAAGGCTCATTTTCTGAACTCCGAACCACGGTCTCTTCGAACACATCGAGCACACAAAATATTACCCTCATCATCGTCAACAACTCTAATTCTGGGTAGGCCCCTAAGAAAAGACATAAGCCTTATGGGTCTCGGTATTACATCCATTCGGAAACATGCAAGTTCCCACGTCAGATATACAGGGACCAAGTGTTTTAACCTAATTGCCCTCTCCGTTGCCGCGTCAACCGTCTCCCACTCTTGCCGGACGGTAAAAATATTGATCCCAATAATCACGGGGAAAACAAGATTGGGCAGTTCTGAACGGGCCGCCGCTTTCGCTTTCGCTCGTCTTGCTGAATAAACGGCCTTCCGTGCCAGTGCACTGATTTCATCGCTAGTCATCCAGTAATCTTTGAGCCTGTAAGATATAAAGGAGTGCACATGCAACGGGCCGCTGTTGTTGTCTGAAAGTCATACACCGAATTTCTCCGAGTCCAGAGTCTCGCCTTCATCTTCATCTTCATCTTCGGAATATTGTATTTGTGTTATCTTCTTAAGGATGAAATTAGTTCTGATCTCAAAGATGAAATTGTGGTCTCCAGTGATGATGCTAATTACTTAGATCATCTGGGGTAGTGTGGTAAATGAGTTAGGAGAGCAAAGCGGATCAGTAGCTTGCCAGTTTGATGATCCTGAGGTCCCTGCGAAATGAACACACGTGAACTAAGTCGGGGGTTGATCCGGCGGAAACCCCTCCGACGCTCAAGTCAGATGTACGGATCGTGGAGATGGTAGAGATAATATGTGTTCTAGAATACTTCTGAATAATAGAACGTACCTTAACAAATGAGTAATAACCTCTATTTATACGTCGTTGATTGGGTTGGATTTACTTTGTTGGGGTCAAACCTTATTTTGAAGGTGTTTGGGCTTTCGTGAATGGGCCCAATTATTAGGTGAATTGGGGGCACATTGGGTCGGCCCAAGTAAGTATATCATTAAGCCCCCAACTCTCGAGTCGAGAGGGGAGACTTGTCGAAGGGATTTCGGATTGTGTAGAGAGTTAAATGTGCCGTGGTTTAACTGGTTTTTATTGCCGTTGAATTAATTCGTAATTAATAAAAAAAACTAATTGTATTTATTTGGCAGCAAGATATTTATTTAAGGGTTTTAAATAATATACCAGGGCCAAATAAATAGAATCCTTTTGCGGTGGAGAGAATTAAATTCCAACTCTTGTGGGGAATAAATATGTGTAAGTATTTTTAACTTTTGGGTCTTCTTCTGTGCTCTTGCTTCTTTTTTTTCGTGGTAGAGTAAATTTTTTTTTGTGTTTCTTCGGAGAAAGAAATTTATCATGTCGAATCCGGGTAAGTCGAAATCTTTGCGATTTAAAAGTCGAGATCCGGTTAAGGGGGGCGATATGCCTTTTGGTACTGTGGCTCAGCTGGCGCGCCTGGTACACGTGGAAAGACACGCCCGCGCGCGTCTTGCACGGCGACCGAGGGACGCGTGCGCGCGCACGTCAGGCTCGGACTTCGATGCACGCGCGCGCGCGCATCAGAGATGGGTAGGGGGTGGGGCTGCGCGTGTCGCGCACGGAAGACGAGGCAGGCGCGCGCGTGCTCGGGGCTGGGAGTTTTGATGGCGCGCGCGCGTCGTGGGCTGTAGGGTGCGTTGCCAGCGCGTGCTGAGGGTTCCGGGGCGCGTGCGGGCGCATGGAGTCAGCCGGAGGTGCCGCTCGAAGCCGTTTTCGATGATCGGCTAACGCGGGTTTCGCAAAACGGTAAGTGCTTGGAGTGATAATTTGGGGCTAAATGTTAATATTTGCCCCACTATTGATGAAGTTGGTTCTAGTAGACGTCGTTATGGGCATCAAGTCGTGGATTTTGGGAGAGATAGTGACAAGTCCAATCAATCGAGTTCGTCGAGTGAGCCCGCGGGATCGGATGGTGAAGTGGAAGCGATGGTTAAAGTGGAAGAGGAAGATGATATTCCACTTGGTGATGTTGAGATGGATAGGAGGCAAAAGAAGATTAAGCCAATTAATCTTGATTTAGTTGATGTTGATAGTGCATTGACTGAAGAGCACTTGCGATCTATTCGTCGGTTAGTTGGAGGGCCAAGGAATATCGAGTTGCTTTTGCCTCAGAAGGGCGAGCGTTTATATTCGCCACCTGCTGGGTTTCATACGGTTTACTTGGCGTATGTGATGTGTACTTCTTAGATCACTCCGCATCCGACTTTGTTGAAGATTTGTGATGAATTTAAGATAGGGTATAGTAAGTTGTCTCCGACCGTGCTTCTTACATTTGAGGCGTTTCACCATAGAGTGTCGCAAAGTGGTTTGCCTAGTAGTGTCAGTTGTATTCAAGGCGTTGTTTACGTTACATCGGCCGAATAAGTTGCCCTTCTTTTGTGCTTATCCGAGGGTTCCCTACAAGTTTTTGAAGAGTGTGAAGTTGTCATGGGGGGATTGGAAATCCCGTTTCTTTTATGTGAGGGCTCCCTCTTTTGAGTCCCCATAATCTGGAACCCCACGTGTGAGAATTTCAAGATTACCGAGAATATGGCTAAGAGGATCACATAATCTAGGTTTTGTGATGTTGAATTTGATCCGAAGCGTTTGATCCCGGATGGTCAGCGCCACATATCCTTTTGTTTTTATCGAAACATTTTTTTTTGTTTTTTTTTTTGTGTTTTTTTTTTGTTGATGTGTTATTCTTCGGTTTTATTTATCTTTTGTTTCTTTTTTTTTGTAGATGATTGTATTGACTTTGCGGCGCTTTGAGCCAAGGCGAATGGGACTTCGAGAAGTCATTGAAGAAGGTTCCCTCGAATTTGGGAGGTTCTTCGGGAAGCCTGCCTCTAGAGATGGTTCGTGTTGAGACTGCTCGAGTGAGTGAAGACAATCGTAGCTATGCTAGTGAAGTGGAGGTGCGTGAACCTATGAAAGATCGTGGAAAGGGGAAGAGAGTGGATACCGAGTATGTAGCTGTGCCAAAGCGTCCGCTTGTAGACCCGGAGGAGCCTTATGGATTCCATGGTGGGGCAGGGGAAGCAGTTGTTCACCTTTGGGGTGAATCGCGAGCGGAAAGAGTCCTACTGGGATGTGTCGGACCGTGGTTTAGCAATGATGAGTACTGAGGGCTTCGTTCGGGACTATGATAGTGCTCGGATGTCTGGTAAGGGTTATTCTCACATGCTTGAGTTGGCTGGCAGAGACTTATGTCGGGTGAGTGTTTGTTTTTAAAACAAGATTTTATGCTTATTTTCCTCTTTTCTTGTGTAACCAATTTTATTGTATTCATATAGGCCGCTAGATTTTTGGAGGTACCTCATGGAGAAAGACGGGAAAGTGGAAGCTAGGGAATAAGAGGAGCGGACTCGAAGTCAGGCGCGTGAAGATGAACTTCGAAGCCAGTTGGAGATAGCGCAGTCCGGTCTCGCTCAACGGATGGAGGAGCTTGCTCAGAGGACGGAGGAGCTTGAGGTTAGTCGATGTGAGGCGAAGGCCTATAAGGATGATGTTGAGAAGTTGGACAAGTGCTATGATCAACTGAAAGCAAAGTATGAAGCCGAGAAAGCGACGGGAAAGAGATTTCTCGCTACGTCGGGGGGTGCTGCTAATAGGGACTCTATTGTGGAGGAAACCAAACGTAGCTTCCGAGGTAGTGCCGATTGCCGTTCTATGATTGAGGAACGTGCTTTGGCTGCAGTCTATAAGCCATTAGTTCGTACCTGTCGCAAATACCTTCGCGAGGTGGGTGGGATCAGTGAGAGGGTCATTCGACGGATGGAGCCCGGTATTTCTAATGAAAGAGAGGAGGTGGAGGATGTCAATGATGTTGGGTTTCGGGCACGCGTACGCAGCGGAAAACAAAAAATTAATGCGATTTAAACGACTTTAAAGCACATAAGCACATGCCCGACAAATTTAATCAATTAATTGCGTACCTTTGCGCTTCCAGCGAAATTAAATAACAACATATATGCTAATTAATTTAACCGAATTTAAATCAATTAACATGCTCGCGTTTAAACCAAATAACATGCTTACAATGATTTAAAACGATTACACATAATCACATAAAATCATACGAAAGCAAACATGAATATATATAACGTTTAAACGAAACAAGAACTTCGAGTTCGTGTGTTTACCTCTTGAAGCGTGAGGTAGAAGTGCTAAGCAAGTCGAGATTGCTACGGAAACCAATCCGTACAATCGGGGCAGCAGCGGTGCAGCGGTAGCGGCGGTGAGACGGCCACGGCGGCGCGTGAAACTCACGCGCGGTCTTTCCGGGGCGGCGCGTGGGGCAGCGTGTGGCTTCGGCTCGTGCGCTGCTCCTCGATTCTTCGATCTTCGGTCTTCCTCCTCTCGGATTTCACCTCGTATACTTCGATCTACTAAACACGTGGCACTAGACACGTAATAGTTAGAAAAACGGAAGAAAAAGAGAAGGAAAGAAACTACCGAAACAATCGGCCGATGAACGGCCGATTCCGGTGAAGCTCCGGCGACGGCACCGGTGACGGCCGCGAGGAGAGGGCGAGAGAGAGAGGGAGAATGGCTGCTAGGGTTAGGGTTTTCACTTGTATGTGCAAGACCTATAAATCTTGTATTTATAGTGTCTTGCATAAAACCCTAGCGGGCTTAAGTTGGACCGGACCCAACAGCTTAGTTTCGCTAGTACTTTTACTTGCTCGTT